CTTTGGTTACACACAGATCTTTAGCAATTACAAGAAAAGATAATGCTAGAAAGAAAAGATCTTTTACTTAAGCAAGGAGATGCTTGAAGTAAGAATAGGTAAAAGAGTGATGCGATCACTCTGCAAGAAGAAGAAACACTTCTATTTATACCCAGTGCATTAAATGTTCATTTAATGCAGTAAGGTAAGGTTTAGAGTGCATGTCAAGCCTTAAAAGGAAGGCTTGTCCTTTGCTACAGTGAATAGTACAAAAGCACTATTCTTGAGCAGACATCCTTACCTAAAGTTGGTGGACAAAGAGTCGACTAATCGGCTCCGTACCGTACTGACTTTAGTAAGGGTATGGGTTTGTCCTTTGTGTGCATAAGGACAAGACAACAACAATCGTGCTAAGCAAGCTTCCTTTGATCGATGAATGCTGGAATAACCTGGAGGTCTCGTCATCATTCGCTGAAGCTAGAGCAGTCTTCACGCATTTGTAGATAGGCTCGTAATCACTGAATACCGCTTCAGATCACGTACTCGCCAGTCTCTAATCTTCAGTTTTCAGTCTTCGACATTCGCTGAAGGTTCTTTGGTGTGAGTGTTGTCTTCTTGAAGTAGTTTGTCTCTGAGAATTACAAAACAAGTTCCTCAGCGATCACTGAACATACTCAGTGTATGATCGCTGGAACTRAAAATAYAGAAACAAAATTAYATYGATAGATAAAAGGGATTATCATCAAATCACTGAGAGAGATGATCAACATAGTTGTTCTTTTTGTTAGTAGTTTGGAAAAAATACATTAACAAATATGTTAGTCTGGTGTTTTGTTTCTTAGACAAATGGTTTGATATTATCTTATATCAAACGGATATTTCGATTTTTTTGATGAATACGGAAATGGTTTTGCATAGTTGATATGTATTCTCATTTCATTAAGCATTTTAATGGTTGTTATCACATCTTAAACTACATGTACGTACTAAGGGATTTGTAATATATATATCATATTGTGTCACAGTGAATCACAACGAAAAAACATAAATCATGCATCATATAAATAGTCAAAAATGGTTAACTAATCAATCTGTTCAGATTGAAACAACACAATCATTGTTTAATCAAAATAAATGGCAATACAGAACCAATTAATCAATTATAATGACTAACATTAAAAACTCAGACTCAACACAATACATAAAATTAAATAAGAATTTGAACCTAAAATAATTCCATAAAAAAAGGACAACCACTACGAATTCAATTCGATCAATAACTTGATAAAAAATCAAAATTGTATTTGTATGAAATCAAATGGCCCGAAAACATCAAAAACAAAATAGTCCTACTTTTTCTTCGCTAGACAGTTACAGATATCATGATTAGACAACAACTTGCATCCGCTACACATCCTCTTAGGCCGAAAACTCTTCACTACTGTTTTCTCAACTGCAACAATCAATCTTTTGGACGTACCACAACTTTTGTTCCTTATACCGGTAGCAGGATGTATCCCAATGTTATCAGTTCTTAGAAAACCAAGGATTTGTTCTATTCCACGCTCTTTACGTTTCATCGAAGGTTCATATGTACGTTCTTTGGCTAAATCATCCCTCAATTCTTTAATTGTAGCCACAAATGATTCTAGTTTTTCTTTGGCATCTCTTAATATGTCCAACACATCATCGAAAGCGTCATATATATCATTTATTATTCTACGTTGATCCTCGCCTACGTCGTATATTCTTTGACGACTATTTTGTAATTCAATCGGCATAAGGTCGCGTCTCCATCTTCTCAAAATGTATTTTTCAAGTATAGATTCAACATCGGCGTTTAACAATACTTGAAAAACATGTCTGCATAAATAACCATGTCGACCGATGTGATTGCAACTACAAACAATGGTCGACTCCTTCAAATGACGAACAACCTGTACAAAATATAAAGTTGAAACAACTATGATCACCATCGAAACGTTGTTCAAATAAAACAATAACATAGAAAACTAATAATAAATGACTTTGTATGCAAGCATACCTTATACTCTGCTATTTTCTCGTCTCTTTTGTCTAAATGTTCAAATAAATATGTGTCAACTTCTTCATCTGCATTGACACCTTCATTGAACATGTCCAGGCAGCCCTGTGTAACTCAGTTTGCACCTCAAAAAATATAGAACGCATGTAAACCTCACAAGCGTGCCTCTCCAACTTGCTATAGGTCAACCATTTAGGTAAGGTAGTCCTCGTGTGATAATCAAGACGACGTTGTTCCCTATGTTGTTTCTCCAATGCAATTTCAAACCCCAACATAGATTGAAAAAGATTGTTTCCACTCTTCGAAAAAGAGTTAAAAAAATGAGTTTGCACTTTCTGACCTAGACGTTGTCTTCATGAGGCAACACATTGGAAGCTCTTTAATGCGGGTATCCACTGGGATCTTAGAGCAAACATATCTTTCAACCACAGATGATCTTGAAGAGAGAACTTCTCGATAAGAACCATCCATCTACTCTCAAACTCATCAGGGGATATGTAAATGTTTCATACCAACTTGAAAAATAGTTTCTTAAACGTGGTGTTATTAAGAAGATCATAACTAAACTACAAGTAAACTAAATATGTAAGCAATAAAAGATGAAATAGAAGAAGTGTTATGTGTTTATCATTCTTGTGTATTAAGTATTAGATACAAAATATAATAAAAAATATTATATAAGTTCTTTAATGCTTTAAAAGATAATTAAGAGAAATAAGAAAAAGACCAAATTACCCTTGGACTTAATTGGCTTAATCGATTTTTTTTTAACATCCGTAGGTTGGAGGAATTCAATGAGTGCGAAAACATCAATTAGAAGTCCCAGTATTTGTATTTATTTTGATTCTAGGACCACTGTGTGTAGAAAGTATAAACCACATGGACCATACCCGTAACTTACTCTAATTTATCTATATTGAACATGTATTGTTTAAAATATCTTCGTTACTTTATATGATCTCTAATTATCATGGTTTTAAAAGGTATGTCATGGCAGATATAGTGCTTAAACGTGTCTCAATTGCCATGTTAGCAACTCTGTAGAGGCAAGTTGCATGCCATGGCATCTTGAGACGTGTTATGCCAGGTGTTTTTCCAAAGACTTTATTTTATTTTTGAAAAACTTCATTTAATTGATTTTTGTCATTCATAACCGGTCCCAAATCCAGTCCCAGGCCTAACCCGATTTTTTCTACAAAATTATTTATTTTTAAATTCTTGTTTACACAACTTGTACTAGTTTCTATTATTATGATTTTCCAAATTAAGTATTGAAATACACTATATATTTATATGAACATTTTATATCCTAAAAAACTTTAAAGAAACATCTCGTAAAATCCATCCTTATGCATAAGCAGTCCTGCATCGAGTCGAACCTTGCATTTACCAGAAATCTTGTAACCTGTCCCAAAACCTAAATTATCAGATGTAACCGGTCTAGACTGTTTGACAGTTGCAGAATGATTAAGTGGTCAGAATGATTAAGAGGCTCATGTGATGTAGTGCAAAATGAAATGTAATTGTTTGACAATTGTTCAGAATGAAATTAATGCACTTAATGGTTAAGGGAGACCCAAGATACAAAATCATTCAGATGGTTTTCTAACCATTAAGAGACAAAAAAAATTGTCAAACAAGATTCACCTCTTAGCGGTTTAGAGACTGTCTCTTAATTAAACTATTAAGAGGTAAACAAATAACCCTGGATTAGTCTCGACCCAGATCTAATTCTGAAACCAGGCAGGCCTCTTTTAGCGAATGTAAGCACATTTGAAACTAGTGATAGCCAAACTGACCCGGCTCGGGACCGGTTATAGGACCGAAATCTGGGACCGGTTATGGATTTGGGGTGTTTCGCGGGAACCGGGATCGGTTATGGACCAGCCCGCCCCGACCCGATTTTTGAAAAATGTTGCCGTTATTTTTCAAAAAACTAGCCCTTTTTTGGGCTTTTTTTTGTATTTTTTGCTTTCGAAACACTATATATAAGTGTATTGGTTGAGGGATTTACATACCAAGTTCTCGATTCGTAAAAAACGCAAAAAAAGAAAACGTTCACAATTATCGATTTCTCACTATATTTTGTAAGACAATATAATTTTAATTATAAGAAAACGTATTTTTAAAGTGTATTTGAGTGACCAAATTACAAATTTTATAATGTATTAAAAATATATATCATTAAAAAAATTAGTTTTTAATAACCGGGACTGACGGCCCATAACCGGTTACAAATAAGCTTGACCGGGCTCAACTTTTTCGACTGAGACCGGTTATGGCTGGTTATGAGAAATCTTGGGACCAGTTGGGACTGGCCCAACCCGGCATCGGTGTTTGGCCATCACTATTTGAAACACACCCTTTATAAAATATACGGCCCAAAGTAATTTGGGCCTTCTGATAATTGGGTTTTGGGTGTGAAAGAGCCCAATGAGTTCATACATCGGGCCTTGAATGCAAGAACAAAAAGGGCAAAAATCTACGGGTTGCAAAGATCCGAAAATATGCGGCCACTGGCCATAGAAACCGCATCTCGGTGTACGATACCTCTTTCAACCATCGTTCCCGGCGCCGGCGGTGGCGGTGGCGGTGGTGGTAGCAGTGGCAATAACATCTTCAAGTCATACAACAACAAGTGTGCTGAAAGTCTTACTATTTCAGCTCCGACTTCTTCCTATAATTATCGCCACAAAAGCAAGCAGTTGAATTATCGGGTTAATGCTGCATCAGGCTCCTCCGGCAGTGGTTATGATGATTCGGATAACTCAACTAGGCAACTTGCTGTTCTTCTTGAAGTTGAAGGGTAATCAATTTCTCCAATTCATTGGCAATTAGTCTCTTCTTAAAACTAAACATGAAATTTTGTTGGATAATAGCATTTTCGATTTAGTACTCGTAAACCTAATGTTGCTACCAGATTTTTTTCATGAAGTTCAGAATTTCATAAATATTGAATGTGAATAGTTGCCTAGTAGTTTTTTTCTCTTTTGGGAAAGCAGAGTGTGGCTAGCATATATGTGGTAGAAGTTATGAGTTAATCAAGTTACACAAAATGTAGTATAGTTTTTCTGTTTGTAGCACTTGTAAAACTAATTTAGTTACGGGATTTTTCTCCCAAAGTACAGATTTTGCAATTTTTTTAAGGTTGAGCTGTAATGCCCCTCATTGTAACAGCAAAGGAGGTCAAATTCAAGCAACAATAACTGAACAGAGCATCTTATAGAAGCTAGTGGCTGTTTGGTTGGTTTTCCATTAAGTCCTGTATGGATTAAATTAATCTGCCTGTTGAAGATTGGGATGGTTTTTGTTTGGGAGGTTTTTTCATAGATGGAAGGAGCTTATTTTTAATTGGAGAAGCAGGTTTGGAAAAAACTTGGCTTTCCGCATAAAGCTCCCCCCTAGAAGCTTACTGAATAAGTCTTGTATAGTTGACCAAAAAACCTGTCCCATTAAGCTCATTAACCTGCTAATGAACAGGCCCTTAATTATCTTGTAGCTTGTTCTTTGATCTTTTACTATTTATCAGGGTCCTCATGGATGTATATCGCTTTGGTAACCGGGAAGCCTTCAATTTAGGTGAGCTGTAACAGTGAATTGATTTTTCTTTTGTTTAAATGATGCTTTGTGGTTGTTCCACATGAGTGGGTAGCAAGTTTATTAAACTTTTGTAGATTGACATTTTTGCATTTTTCATTCATCCAGCATTTAAGAAAATGGGGTTGGATTGTGCACATTGGACAGAACCAATCTACTTAGATCTCATAAGGTGTGATATCTATTGCACTCATCTATTTGATTATTGGGTTAAACTGCAAAGCCTGATTGCTTGGTCATCCTATAACATGTTTTCTATTGCTTGGGATGAAGTATGTTGTTGCATGACTTGAACGATGATATGTTTTTTTCTTCGATCCTCCTATTTATTTATTTTATTTTATTCTATATCGACTCGTTAAGCTGTCTCAGATAGTATTGTTTTTGTCTGTATTTCGAATGCATGTGGACTTTTTATAGCACGTACTAATGTTTAGGGTCTGCTATACTGTTATTAGCAAGGGATTGCCCTTGAGCCGTATATTTGGCCATTTGTTTACTTGCCCTAGCAGGCAAAGGAAGCGTAAGCAACTCTAGTGTGATCCTAGAAAGCATGATAATTATAGGATTCTCTTTAGAGCATCTCCAACCCCACTCCATATCCCGTATTGTACTCCATAATGGAGTAATTCTTCTCCAGCCCCGCTCTACTTCCCACACCATTTTGGTGTAAATGAACAGTGTTACTCCAAATATGGAGTAACATATTCAACCCCTCCATTTTAGAGTGAAACTTTCATCTATACATTTTTAGTCCCTCAAGTTCCAATATATACATTTGTAGTTAGGGAAACTCCGTGCCAGCATGCCTACTACAAGTCAAAACCAAGGAGCCTTACTTGCGGAGGCAGGGCCGGTCAGCCCTGTACAAAAACCTGAATATGGCCTATATTTTCTTCAAGTTATATTATTTATTAACTTTTTTATCACTAAATTCAAAACTAAATCCCTTAATTTTAGAATATATGTGGAAATATAAAACTGTTATTATCAAGATTAAAATAAAAATCAATTTGGGTCTTTATATGGTTAAATTGATGATCATAAATCATATATGATTAATCTGGTGATAACAATAAAATGTAAATTAGTAATAAAATTAAAAGTAATCACATAATAAGTACAATGTACAATATGTAACATAGATAGTTTATTAGCAGTGAACATAAAAACTTCTTCATTCTTTTGTAATAAATTGACGTTATTAGTACATTTTCTCAAAACAAAACAAACAACTAGGCATTACTATATTCTGAACATAGGCCTTCTAACATTTTTAGAAGCAAAATCATCTAATCTATAACAATCAAGAATTTTTTTTAAATTTCAGATAAATAATAATCAAATAAAGTTAATAGAAGAAAATTATTGAAAAATAAAATGAGCCAACTTGATATTTTGGCATCAATTGGCAAGTAGATAACTAGAAAATAAAGGAATCCTTATTGAAGATTTATATAATTAAATTATTATGAAAATTTTAAATTTTTAATTAATTAAGTTATCTTTTATCTTTTTGAATTTATCATTAAGTTATGTTGAAGATAAAGAAATCAATTTTTTTTAATATAAATAAAAAATCGTTAAATAATTGAAAACTCCTTTAGAGAAAATGCAAACAAAATGGTGCACGTTGGGAAACTGGAAATTGAATCTAGGGTACATCCCAAACTATTGAAGGCATTATCCAACCATGCTACTAGGCAGCTTGTTTAGATTGATGGATTTTCCTTTTTATATTCTAATTACACTATACGTATATAAAAACAATATTGTGGCCCCCGACAATCGGAGGCCCTGTGTGGTGGCACCACCGGCACACCCCCTTGGCCGGCGCTGTGCAGAGGAAGTAAAAATAATATCAAAACAATGGGCCAATGTACCAGGCTTCCACCTTCATGGTGGTCTAGGTAGAAACCGTAGAATCTAGTGCACTAATATCAGGGGAGTGGTATAAAAATTTTATTAAGTTAAAATTGTGTGGGCATAATTGGTGGTGTTTAGATGATGGTTAATCAGATGTGAGATGACGCGACTAGAGTCCTTAGCCTAACTATCCTATGGTAGCTGGAGAAAAAAGACGGTTTTGATTAATCTTGGATGCATGTCTGAGATGTCGACCAAATTTGGTTGTTTGAGTTGGGACAAGAAAAGCGCCTGGATCATAATTGGTAACATGATGGTCACCGGTCTCCCAATGATTTTAAATTTAACAAGCCTGTTGCTATGCATTACTATCTACAATTTAACTAGTTATCATATTTTAAGGTCATTTTTGGTTCATTGTGTTAGTTCATTTCCGAGGAAGTACTTATTAGTTACTATGTTAGTGTCTGTTTAAAGTTGATGAAATAAAAGTTGGAGATTTTGTCTTTTTGCATGCCCATTGCATCTTTCACAAGTTTTTTATACTTGGCACTTGCGAGTGCATCAAAATGGGTTGTGAATCTTACTTCTTATACAATTAGGCTATCTATATTATGAACAACGGTGTAATGCCTAAAGCATTATTTTTTTATTTCATCTTTCTTGCTTTGCCATGAACTTGCAGGAGATGTTTTGATGTCTTGTACTCAAATCACTTGAGTTTATTTTCTATATGAGCTGATGAACTTCGACTTTTGTATGCGACTCAATATGTAAACAACCATCAAACTTACTTGTGTACTTGTTTTTGGACATCCTTACATACCAATTTACTTTGTAGGAAGAGCTTTGGTGGTGAGGAGGAAATGCTAACTTTGTACTTCAATAAGGTGGTTTTTTCATTTCAAGCTAGCAAATATGGTTGACATGCATTGTTTTCCATGGCATGCCTTTTGCTTCTGTTATTAAGGTAGTATTTCTTCTATTGCTAATCCATTTCTCAGATAGGTTGGCCTACTTCGCTCCCCACTAATGAGAAGGGAAGTTTCATGAAACGTGTTCTGCGAGAAAAGGTATGATTAATACATATAAAGTTTTTGTAGCTGAAGAATTCATTTTATCTTGATAACTGCTAATCAATTTACATATATTAAGTAGTATAGTGATTATGGAGTTTGTAATAACTGGCTGGATGTTTGCACATGTGTGAGGGAATCACTCGGATTTGCCTCTACTTAAATGAGTGCCGCCCAAATATTTGAGCAGAAATTGCTCTTCTACCATGGCTTATAATTGTTGTTACGATTATCATCATTTGAATTTGTTATTATTATGATTACTGCTGCTTGTTTTTGTTGTTGTTGATGTGCCAAGATGATGGAACTTGTTGGCAGAAAAATGCATTGGAAGATCTTGTGATGTCAAAATCTTTGCCTCTGAGACCTGGTGCCGAAGAGTGAGTTGTGCAAACCTTCTCTATTATCGATTTTTTTCTTACTCGGTGGATGCATTGTAACATGAATCACTTTTTTGGAATTTAAATGCAAATGCAAGGAGTTATAATTCAATTAGTTTGATTCTGAATTTTTATCATTTGGATCTTACGGTAATTAATTAACTCATGATTCAACTTGATTTTCTGCTTCATATTCACTATTAGAAACTGGTTCTATTAGTTCATGTTACTGTAGGTTGTATTCTGCTTTTTTAGACGATTAAACTATCAAAAATAAAAGAATTACCAAACAGTGAGCAGCAGCCATGTAGGAGCACCATCATGCGAATCTGCAAATCAGAAGATTCTTTTTAATGCCACCATAGAGATTTAATTTAAAATGATAAATGTTATTGAGGGAGATCCTGTATAAGTAAGGTAGACAAGGTGTCTCTAAGCCGAGGAGACAACGTGAAAAGAAATAAAGAAACCTATTTAATGGTATATAACTAAGAAACCATAGAAATACTAATACTACTAAGGACTTGTTTGTTAGCAACTGAATGAGCTTAATGGGACTCACAGCTTATTCCTTTAGCTATGACTGTTTGGTAGTGGCTTAATGAGATAGAAAGTGGCTTATTCAATAAGCTTCTAGGGGGCGAGCTTTATGCAGAAAGCCAAGTTTTTTCCCAAACCTGTCCCTCCCAATTAAATGACATGCTCTTTTCATCTATGAAAAACCCTCCCAACCAAAAACCTTTCCAGTCTATACAGTCAGATTAATCTCCACAGACAGTTTTATTCATACAGGACTTAATGGAAACCACCGAAACAACCCCTAACAATGCTAAAATTTGGAGCATAGCTGTTGATCACGATGGTCAATTTGAGCCTTTCACAGGGATTTAAGGGTTCTGTTGAATGTTAGCCAACTGCAATCTAATCCCTATATGAACATGGTATTTACATGATCCATTGTAAACAAAACATGATTCTATACAAGATGACAATTGACTACTATAAATCAAAATGGATTCGAGTGCCTTTACTGCAATTACCTCCGCCTCATATCATTGTAAAGCAGCAAGTTATGACCCTGAACAATATTTGTTTGCCATGATTGCAGGTCATTTATGTTCTAGTCATAGATCTGGCATTATCAAACTTTGGTTTTCTCTAGTTATTATATAGAACATTTACTTCTCTTTTTACATTTGAATTATGTTGTTTCTTCCATCTACAGTTTTATTGATGATGCACATAAAGAAGGTGTTCCTATCGTTGTACTAGCTTCCTACAGCAGGAGTGGTGAAAATATAGCAAGGTCAATCATTTTTATTCAAGTTTATGTGACTACTTGGAACTTCTGAATTATTTAAGAGGGTGTTGCACTTTCAGCTTACATTCTGAGATGCTTTCACTATGATTATAATGCATGTCTTGATCTTTTTTTTATGTGGCCTACAACTTCTCCCAGCCAACTAGCATCTTGAAAAGTGATAAATAAGACAAAATGGAATGCTGAAGAGTAAGCATGATTTTGCCATGTAACACCTAGAATCTTTTGAATGTCACATTAAGATAAACGAAGGCCTCATGCCAAAGGATGACCAACTTGCTTGATCTACGTAGCAGACATTGACATATGATGCATGACACACAAATAGGAGATTTTTAAAATATTTTACTTTTACTGGGCTGGCATAAGTAGACCATTATGTGTATATGTGTGGATATACATACAAAAGTTAATTATATCTTTTAATCACATAAACGTATATTCCAATTTCCAAATTGTTAAACTCTGGAACGGAAGAAAACACATAGCAGTTCACAGAGTCCCTTTTACAATCTGGATGTGAAGTTGAGCCGTTGAGGATCATAAATCAGGCATGACTCTTGTATCCAAGGACATGGAAATTATTACATCTGCAGCGTTGGCTTAATGTTATGACTTATGAGATTGTTGATATTCCTGCGGCTGAACACCAATGATTTTCGCATAAGCTCGTGAAGATACATCTTTATATAAAACGCTCAACTTATTTGAACATTGCAGAAGTCAGCAACTTAGTTTCTATGTAATATTTATCCCTTTCTACACTAAAATTTCCACCTTGTTATTAATTCTTGGCAAAATTTGCAGGCCCATTATTGAAAGTCTTGGCAAAGATAGGATGTCAAAGATCAAAATTATTGGGAACATGGAGGTGGAACAAAGTCTATATGGGCAGCTCGTACTTGGAAAAGGAGTTTCTTCTAGTTTGGATGAGCAATTAGTTAGTGAAGCAAGAAAAGCAGGTAGATTACTAGTCCTCGATTCCTTTTTCATGCACGTATTCGAACCTATACACATCTTTATCCCGAAGCTTCGATGATGAGGACACGCTATGTGACTACTTTTTTGGGCCAGCATCTACCGAGAAACAAAAAATTGCAAAAGAAGTTGCATCCGTGCTGAAACTGAGTGTTGACATTGATACAACTTCAAGTGAAAGGTTAGTATTGTCCCAATTTTGGATTATTAGTCCCAACATTAATTATTAAGATGGGTATCTTCCGCAATTAGTGGAAATCATGGATATGTTGTACATGATACTCCCTCCGTCCCAAAATAAGTGTCACATTCAAAAGTAAGTGCCTCTATGAAATGGTGAAGTTCATTACTTCCTTGATGATTATGGGTACAATTGTCATTTAGTTAATTGAAAGGTGTAATAGTTACAAATTTCTAAATTGTGTTTTTTCATTGTGGATATTTATTTTGGGCCGGGGGGAGTACCAGACTAGTGATTTATGGCTGCATAGATGCTAGACTTGTTGACTTTCTGAAATATCCTCCTTGGCTTTTCATTTCAGACTAACCATCCTTCTTGCTAAAATACTAAAAAAACACTACACTTTGCCAGAAGAAGACATTCTGGACACAAATGGCAAGTTTATGGCTATTTTGCATCTTTATTTAACATGATTATGTAGAAAATTCCTCACTGCTGCAAAATGTAATAATTTTTTTTTGAGTAAATTACATTTTTTGTCCCTATGGTTTGTTGAAAATTGCGGGATTTCGTCCCTGTGGTTTTACAATTGCGGTTTTCATCCCTTTGGTGTGGGATTCTTTTCTATTTTCGTCCCCAAGGCTTAACACCACCTTTAAGTATGAAGGACTAAAATGGAAATGAATTGTAAACCACAGGGACGGAAAAAGCAATAAAGTTTAAACCATAAGGACGAAAAAGTTAATGAATTATAAACCATGGGGATGAAAATCATAATTTCAAAATCACAGGGATGGAAACAGAAATTTTCAACAAATCACAAGGACTAAAAACATAATTTACTCTTTTTTTTGGTCCATCGATCTGTTCCAGCAGTAGAGGTGTTGGTAGAATCCATATGAGTGAGGTCCTGGGTTCGAGCCTGGGCACCGCTCCTCTGCCAATTGGATGTATTTGCTGATTTACCTCTTTCATGATGACCGTGGGACCGGTGCGGCGGGGGCGCTTCAAAGGATGGCGTCTACCCTTTTTCTTTTTGTAGTATATTTTTTTTCCTGGAAGAATTGGTTTAGTTTACAAGAAAAGCCAAGCATTTAACATGGACTTGACTAGTTGACTTTGGTCTTGTTAACTTAACCTTAACTCATCCATAAATGTTTATGATTTATTTGCTTTGAACCCATTTATCCTCTCTATTCAGCATACAGAAAATTGTGACTGCGCTGAGAGCGGGAGCTGAATATGCAGAAGTCCCTGTTCCCAATTGTGTTCTTGTTGCCGGTAGTCTTCCCGGGGTTGCTGCAGCTGAGCAAATCGGCATGCCATGTGTTGTTCTTCGCAGCAGGTATGATTTATTAAGTTTATAACTTTACATATATGGTTTTTCATTAATCATATATACATCATCTAGTTTGTAGCTTGAATGGTACTATGCCCATCTCTAGGTGGTAAATTTTTCTAGAATGGAGAAGCAAAAGTTAAAATCACCAAAAAAATTACATTGAATTCCACTAGTTCCTCTATTTTGGAGATTTCAACATTAATTATATTATAAAA